GAGCCACAGAGATACCCGTTCTCTGTTCAGCTGTTACAATTAAGAGCCACAGAGATACCCGTTCTCTGTTCAGCAGTTACAACTGGCAACCTGTTTTCCAATGGGAACGTTTCAGGAAGCTGGCTGTAAACAGGAGCTGATTCTCACATCTTTCCTTTCCTAAGCTGCTTTTTAGGTTTCAGTGGCAACGCTGCCAGTGTCTCACCCCAGCACATACAATAAACCGCTTGTCAATCTGTAGCATCTTGCTGCTGCTGCTGCAAACAAGGAGTCCTTAACAGCCGAAACCCTCCCACTCTGTAACCCCTGCTGACAGCTGCCCTAGCCCAGGGTCACCTACGGGGGTGCCAGGGAGCCAAGGCCCAGCTCTGATGGGGACCAGCTCTGTCACCTCGACTCAGGCTGCTGGGAGAAAGCTGTGGGAAAATCCACAGAGGGATGAGAGAAGTACAAATCATGAGGAGAGGCACGACAGGTGGGAGATGGGCTCGGAAGGTGCTCAAGGAGCCAGGAGGGCAGGTGGCGACACAGCGAAGTACAAACCTCGAGAGGAAGAGCACCCAGGGGGATCGGCCGGGCTGGTGGGTGCAGTCAGGGAGGGGCCAGGCCTTGCTGTGCCCTGCGGTCGTGCTGTGCTGGGACCTGCAGGGCTGCCCCTCCCCTGCTCTGCCCCACCTGCCTGGGTTGTTCGGGCCATGTGCCAGCTGCCTTTTGTGCAGGTCAGCCGATAAAATCATTGCTTTGCATTTTTCAGCTAGGTATCTTCTACTTGCAGGGTCTCAGCGCTCAGCTGCGGGCACCCAAACAACCCGATGCAAAGAGGAACCCTAATACACCTATGACAGAGACCAAGCCACGCTTGGACGAGGCCGTCGCCCGCTAGCTCAAGCAGAGAAAAGAGAGAATGAAAAAACTGGGCCAGGCTTAGATCAGCAAGAGGTTGATCAAGTTTCCCAACAGTCAGTCTGGCTGGGTGCCCCTGTGCTATACACGTCCAAAAGACACTTTTGTAATTCACTGGTAGCTGAAAAGAATTGTTCGTCTAAATATGCCTCCTCAACAATGCTCCCCAAAATGTAGGTATGAAGATGGTGGTGGCCCTTACCCACATGTGAGCAAGAATGTTGACGTCAAACATTCTTTCAATCTGGTGGTCCTGAGTCGAGAGCAGGTCGGCAGCTGTAATCACACCAGCGTTATTCACCAGGATGGAGACATCCCCAATGTCCTTTTTCACCTTTTGGACAGAAGAAAACCCAGAAAGGTACGTGTCATTTGTTATCAAAAATATGCAAGGCTGTGGAAGATGAGTGACAGTTAATTTACTTCTTAATATTGCTTCTTTCAGGGAGAGGACGATCGCACCCCGTTTCCAGATGAGGTAGGAACTGTGCAGTAGTACCATGAACTCTGGTTTAGGTCTAATGCTTCTCCCTTCATTACTGCCAGTATTTATAGTCTTCCGCACATTGCCCACGGACACAGTATGCTCTGAGTAGTCACAGTTGGGACTCTGGACGTACAGACTGTTTTGAGCCAGCCGGACCACATCCTTTACAAGAAAATGTTTCAAATGTCCCCAGCGTTGTCTGTGTGCGGCTCAGGACACTAAAAGGCAAAAGTTCCTTCAGGGGCTGTGTCCTGGTTTCAGCTGGGAGAGAGTTAATTTTCTTCACAGTAGCTAGTATGGGGCTGTGTTTTGGATTTGTGCTGAAAAGAGTGTTGATAATATAGAGATGTTTTTGTTATATAGAGATGTGTTTGTTATTGTGGAGCAGTTCTTTTACACAGAGCCAAGGCCTTTTCTGCTTCTCATACCACCCCACCAGTGGGGTGGCTGGGCTGCACAAGGAGTTGGGAGGGGACACAGCCAGGACAAGCTGACCCCAACTGACCAAAGGGATATCCCATACCATATGATGGCATGCTCAGCATATAAAGGGCTGGGGAAGAGAGGAAGGAAGAGTGGGGGGGCATTTGTAGTGATGGCGTTTGTCTTCCCAAGTAACCGTTACACGTGGCGGAGCCCTGCTTTCCTGGGGATGGCTGAACACCTGCCTGCCCATGGGAAGCGGTGAATGAATTCCTTGTCTTGCTTTGCTTGCGCGCACAGCTTTTGCTTTACTTATTAAACTGCCTTTATCTCAACCCATGAGTTTTCTCACTTTCACTCTTCTGATTCTCTCCGCTGTTCCGCCCACGGGGGAGGAGTGAGTGAGCGGCTGCGTGGTGCTCAGCTGCCGCTGGGGCTGAACCACAACAGGCTGGAAGTCTAAAGAGCAAACTTGGCAACAAGGCATGACATGCCAGAGCCTCTCAGAAGAGCATGAGACTGGCTGCAGTCTCGGAAGTGCTACTTTACTTCACTCTCTGTACAGAAAGCAAGAAGTGGGGAGATTCCAAGGCCTTGCATGATTGGCGTACAATACCTCATCTGTGTTTTTCCTGACTTTTCTGAAAATCTTTGGGTAAGCCTTTGGACGTGCCCCTGCTCCCCTACCTTCTCTGCAGCGCTGTAGATTTCCTCCCTTTTGCTGCAGTCCACCACGAAGGCTTGAACAGTGGCTCCCAGCCTTTCGCATTCTGCTGCTGTGTCCTCAACACCATGCTGTAAGAAAGAGGCAGAAAAGAAAGACACACCTGCACAACTGCACGCTGCCTGCGTGTTGCTGCTCGGGCACTGGGGCAGACCAGTTAGAGGCTGAAGATTTGTCCTGATTGTGTAACTGCTGCAAGCCCCTGAACTAGTTCATGGCTATCCAGGGAAA